AAAAAAAAAAAAAAAAAAAAAAAAGAAGACTAAGATTATTTGGAATAAGTGAAAAATCAGAAGACACGATTGGCATAAGAAAACCTGTTTACAGAAATAACAGCAGAAAACTTCAAATTTGGGGAAAGAGTTAAACATACAGATAAGTAAGGCATATAGAACCCCAGATAGTTTTCCTACTTAGAGAAATGCACATTAAAATAACACAGAGATTCTGTCTTACTCCAGAAAGAATCACTATTATCAATAGATCTATTAATTACAAAGGCGAGAAAAGCTACAGAGAAAATGGAAATCTACTTTGGTGAGAATGTAAACTAGTACAAGTATTGTGGAAATCAGTATAGAGATTCCTCAAAAAGCTAAAACTAGAAACTCCATTCAACCCAGCTATTCCTCTTCTAGGTATCATCCTGAAAGAGTTAAAGACATCACTTTACAGTGATACAAGCATATTCATGTTTACAGCAGCACAATTTATAATAGCTAAATCTTCGAAGCAGATGGGAAGACCACATTTTTTGGATCCCACTGGGAAGAGCCATTGAAAAGGTCATAAGAGCACAGTGTGGAAGAAAGGAACAGAGCTAAATAATAAAAAAAATACATTCTTTGTTCCAGCCTACAGCAATTATCTGGAAAGTAGTGAATGTCTTATAAGAATACATTACCCATGTGGGCTTAATTATAGAGCAGATGGGTGTGACCACATGTAAGAGATCGTGGTTTTCCATTTAAAGGAAGCATGTAAGCAGGGTTGGCCACATAATAAAGTTGCTGAAGTACATGTAAAATGAGAAGTTCTCATAGCATGCAGAGGAAAAGGCTAAGGAAATTAGAAAAGAGGAGAAAAAGATATAGAGGGCCCATCCAGAAGAGAAAAACTTTATGTAACAGGAATACCTTGAAACAGAGGACAAAGCAAAGAAATAATTAAAAAGGTGAAACAATAAAATGACTAATTGAAGAAAACTTTCCAGAGTTGAAGAATAAAGTATGCCTCCAAATTAAGAAGGCTCACAGGGTACCTTTAAAATTTAACAAGAATAGGATCAGGGATGTAGCTCAGTAGTGCCGCCATCCACCTTGAAAGCCCAAGGTCCTGAGTTTGATCCCCAGTACCAAAATAAATAAATAAACAAAATTTAACAAGAAGAAAGCAACACCTAGACATATCCTCAGGGCTTTGTAAAATATCAAAGATAAAGAAAAAATTTTTCAAATATCCACACAGAGAAAGCAGGTTACCTATAAAGGGGCAAGAATCAGACTATCCTCAGATTTTTCTCTTGTAATTCTAAATGCTAGAAACAATGGAACAATACAGAGTTTTAAGGGGAAATAATTTTGAAACAAGAATCATATACCCTGCCAAGTTAGCATTTGTGTATGAAGGCAACTGGAAGACATTCTTAGATACCAAGTGTAAGAAAGTATATTGACCAGGAACCCTTTCTGAAAATTTTGCTGAACAATCTAATGCAGCCAACAGAAAAATTAAAAGAGGAGGGGAGATAGTTGTATGAAAGATTTAATGATTCAAATTAGTTAAGAACAAGAAGTCTTGGGCTGGGAGTTAGCTCAGTGGCACTGTGCCTGCCTTGCAAGTACAAGGTCCTGAGTTCAATCTCTGGTACAAAAACGAACAAACAATAAAAAACAGAGAGTCTAAAATTGTTACATATAGGATAATAAACCTAAATGGAAAATATAGATTTGTAAGCCAGATTTTAAATTTTCAGTTTATGTGGTTTTAAATTGTCAAAGTACATGCCAAATATTCAGTGTATTGGGCAAATAAATACTGTTATTTTTGCCATATGATATTATAAAGATGCATGTTGTTAAGCCAGACTGAAGTGTCTTGGATAGAAGTGCTTTGTCACTGTGGGCAGGACAAAGTGCAGAAAAGACATTCTAAATGTTCATCTGACAAAATTGGAAAGTGGCAGTTTTATTTCCTTCCAAAATTCTTTGTTTAGTGTCTTGCTGTGTGTGGTAGTAAACTGATCAGATACATATATTTTAAAAGACATTTAAAATTAGTGATTTTATGTACATAAAACTCATTGAGCAATCCTTCGATTAAAGAGAATATATGTTGGGCCATGGATTTAGCTCAGTGGCACAGTGCCGGCCTTGCAAGTGCAAGGTCCTGAGTTTGATCCCAGATACCACCAAAAAGAGAGGCGGGGGGAGAAAAATATATGTAGCAAACAAAACAACAGATGAATGGATAAAGAAAATGTGGTATTTACACACAATGGAGCATTACTTTGCCATGAAGTAGGAAATCATTTGTAGGAAAATGGGCCTAGAGACCACAATGTTAACTAAATAAATCACACATTCAGGCTTTTTATGAGAAATTCAAAGTATAAATAAAGAGCAATATAAAAGATAGATAATAGGAAACAGGGAGATAGATCTTATGCAAAAGGAAAGGGAACCAAGAGATGGAGAGGGGACGGAAGTCGCGGGGGGGATGAAAACAATATTAAGATGTGTTACATACATGTATGAGCTCGGAGGATGAATATAATCATTATGTACTGAAGTACTAATAAAAATTAAAGAAGAACCCAGTGCTTTCTTCTTTCATGCCAATGGTCTGGGCTTTAGTGACCACCTTGAAGGAAGAAATTTTGAATGGGCTGAGTGTCCTGAAGGTGTCAGTTCTCCCCTTGGCCTCGTGCACAAACCACATTAAGTAGGGTGTTTTGTAAAAGAACAGGACAAAAAAGACTTCAGTCAACCCCACAGAAATTTCAGGAGCCCCAAACAATATCCCACAAACTAGAAGAGAACACCCAGCTCCAGATTCACTTATTCAGACCAGGGAAAGAAGAAGATGCTTCCAAGACCTCAAAATGTGTCTGATTTGTTCAGTGCTCAGAACCAGTGTTAAGGTTAAAAGGGAAGCAAGCTGTTGGAGGCCCCAGCCCCCATTCTGGGGCTCAGACTTAGCTGTGGTAACACAACCCAGATACACAAGCAAGGATAATGTCTTGTTTGCCAAGTCAGATGAGGTGGTTGAACTGTCAAATCTGATCCCTGATGAACACCGATAAGGAAATGGAAATATCTTATAAAGTAGTGCTTGCTAGAATACTGAAAATTATTCCCAGCTTTTTAGAGGCTAGTTGGCATAATTCTTCAATTAACTTGGGCAATCTGAGATTTAAAACTTTCCAGCCCTTTCTAAAACACACTATGATAAAATTCTCTGTAATCAGATAAGGCGATGAATTATGTGTTCTGCTAATAATGAATGGAAATGACATTTAAAATATCTAACAATTAGAATGAGTACCAGCCATCAAAACTGAAGTGCTATGTTTAGCTGGCCAGGGCCAGATGTTGATAGGGAACCAGGACCCCGTTATTCAAATATCTCAGGATAGGCTAAGTCTACTCGGCCAGAAGACTGGAGTAAGGGGCATCTGGGTATTAACATTTGGATTATTCTTGGACATCCATCATTTAAAAATTATATTTTAAACCAGGAGTGGTGGTGCACACCTATCATCTCAACACTTGGGAGGCTGAGGCAGGAGGATTGCCATTAATTTGAGCCCAGCCTGGGCTAAATAGTTGAAGGCCAGCCTGAATTACATAACAAGACCCTGTTTCAAACAAAATAAAACAAGTTATCTTTTAGTATTATCTAGATATTATACAAGTAAAATAAAAATTTTCTCAATGTTTCAACCTATACGAATCGTATTTGTGCTCTTAAATTTCTTTTTACTGATTAGTTAGTGAGTTTTAGGAATAAAGCCTGCCTTTCTACAGCACTATGACCAAAGTATTTTCTTTCTAATTAAAAACAACCAAAATTGTAGAATTATGGTATTCATTTTCATTTAGTAAAATTTCCTTCTGCCTCCTATATCCTTTCCCCATTTTTGCTGCTTTCTGTATTTGTTACTAGGGCACTGAGAGCACTAGGTCCCTTCTTGCATCAAAAATATCTCAATAATAATAGCCACCATTTATATTATTTATATCATATCATCCTATGAAATGAGTCTTACAGTATAAGTGCCTTAGATTAACTGCTGCACTTGTTCTTAACAACCAACCCTATGAGGCAGGTGAGTAACTATTCTCATCTTAGCAGTGAGAAACCGGGACCCAGAGAGATAAGGACCTGTCCAAGGTCATCGAGTTTAGTGGTGGAGCCAGGATTTGAACTGTGTGATCCTAGAGCCCTTGTTCTTAACCCTATGCATATGCCTTCCTACAGAATGTTCTACTTGGCAGGGTATAGCAAAGAAAACTGAGGTCCAAAGAGCTCTAAGGTCAGGAGCACAACAGTGCATGGTGAGAAAACAAGTTCTTTTGGCCCATGGATCACTGATACCCTCACGCGGTTCTGTAGATATCTCTACTCTGCAATGCATTGTCAAAGTATATGTTTACCTGCTTCAGGAGCTGGGTGTTCCCCTCTTCCTCGATGGCTCTTTGACTCAAAAATAAAATTTTCCTCATTTCTGTTCTTCCCCGAGGAACTGCTATCTGTGGAAAACAAGGAACATATGTTGAAGACGCATCAGAAACTTCAGGAAATGGAAGTGGAACTACAGCCTTACTTATTTTTTTAAAGATTGACTTAGAGGAATGATTTGCATGATTTTTCAAGCAAATATAGGACTATGTTTGATACTAGGACACTGGGTGGCTGATGTGTCCAGTTTGATAAAGCAGAGTAGCGTATGTAGCTAGGTAAAGCTATTGGACAGAGAAAGTGCAGAAGCTCACTGTGCCAGAACTATCCTCTCCATCTCCAAAGGAAGGAGGACCCTCATCTAGGACAGTCAAGGGCAGTCTCTGGACATTAGCCCTGGGAAGCAGAAAGAGTCAGGAAAGAGTTTTCTTTGGAAAATTAAGAATGAGCACACACAGAGCATGCAGACTTGCTGTGGCACTTTCTCAACACAACCCTGCTAGTCAGGTATTATTAGCTCAATTTCTCCCGTTAGGCCCAGGCTCAGATTACTGTCCAGCTTCACACAAGGAGTTAAGTGGGTCACAGGGCAGAGATTCAAGGTCAGGGCATCTGGCTGCTTGGTGGAAACCAGAACTTCTGGTTTAATGATGCATTATGTAACTCTTCTAATCAGTTATTATACAAATATTGAGGGAAAATATCAAGAAAAAGAAAAGGTAGAATTTTAACCGTAAGGTTCTGATAAGCCAGGGTTATGCCCTTCTGCCATTTCCCATCCAGAAATTTATAGCATTTGTGTGCTTATTCCATTCACAGAATAATACCCGAGTTGGTGGAGTTACTCTCATGTTATACTGTGGTTTCAAGTGGATATATGAATATTATAATGCTTCATGGGATTACATCAGAAATGATCTTCCCACATGAAGAATTTCATTGAAAAATAAAACAACTTTTAAAGCTTCTTTACTTATGGTATGAAAAATAAAACAACTTTTAAAGCTTCTTTACTTATGGTATCAACAGAAATGTGCCATTAAACTCTGCCATTAAAATAAGGTGACGTAAAGGTGGTATATAAAAAACACATGGTCTGCCTAGCAACTCTGCACATAAAACTAGGATCCCTGACAAAAGGTTGGAAATTGAACTATTAAATTACCTAAAATCCTCTGTGTAGCACTTCTCTATCCCTTCCTTCTTCCCCATGTCTTACTGCCAAGTTGGCTGCAAAAAGACTATGCAATCACCTTTTCCTCTCTCTCCAATAACAAATTTGAAAATGGAAAGATCACATGGTTAGCAATTTTGACAATGATCCAAGACTACACAAAATGCCAAAATTTATTAAGTCCCAGTTTCATTCAGAAGACTAACTGGCTTGTCTTTCTGCTGACAGAAAAACATAAAATTACTTCATTCAGTGTTCCCCTCTCTGCTTCTCCCCAGTACAGGTGTGAGCATGTTCATCAATCCAGTGCTGAAGCCATCATACTTTTTCTATTTTTGTCTTACAGTTCTCTTGCCCTGGTTTCCTAGTGAATACCACTGAACTTGAATAGTCCAGTAAAAATTCACATAATGCAATCAAGGTCATATTCTAAGGTGAAATAAATAGGATGCACATGTGTAAATACCAAATAGTTTCTCTAGTGTGAAAAACTAAAAGTGTAAATAAGGTTCACATTGTGTAATAGATATTGTGAAATAGGAAGAAAAGGGCTAAGGGAATAGGGGAAGTGGGAAGAATGGGGGAAAGAGAAGGAAAAAAATATGAGAAAAGGAAAAATGGAAACAAAGTATTCGGAAAAAGGGAAGGGCGGAAGGAGTGAGGGGAGGGCAGGGGAATGGGGAAAAATAAGAACCAAGGTACGTCATGTAAAGGTACAAGATCCCAATGATGAATGTAACTGTACTGTATACCTAAAAGTACCAATAAACTTAATGAAAAAATTCATATAGTGCAATCATGCAATCCTTAATCCACATAATACAATGAGAAGATATTTTCCTCTGATAGGACAGAAAATATAATTTGGAGAAGTTAATTACCTTGTAGTCAGTAATTGGAAGTTCTGGATTAGAACCCAGCATGGATAGAAGCAGCTTTCTTAGCGAGCCACACAGCTCTCCAAGTCACAGCTAATAAATGCAAGTTTTCTCTCCCCAGAACTTATAGACAATACTCATATTTCAGGATGATAACAAATTTGTTTCTTTTGGGAGTCCTGGCACAGTTAAATAAGAGAAATGGATTAACTGTATTTAGAAAGGGAAATTAGTTGGGGATTTAGCTCAGTGGTTCTGCCGCCTGCCTTGCAAGCAGAAGGACTCGAGTTTGATCCCCGGTACAAAAAAAAAAAAAAAAAAAAAAAAAAAAAATCTGGAGATATAGAGATATAGAAAGGGAAATTATCCTTGGAAGGGAGGTGTTTAAAATGGTACAAACCTTCAGTTATCAAAATTAGAATATTTTTTTAAGTGTCTTCTTTCCCTGGGCAAGAAAACAGTGAAGCAGGAATTGGGAAAGATCAAGTTCCAGAAGAGGGAATGGGATCAGGGGATTTCAGGAGGCACAAATACCAAGGGCTCTAGAATTTTCCAGATACATCACTCTCCCTTCTTGGTGTTTAAAATGTGAATTTCCATTTTCTACATTTTATGAAGGAATTCACTGTAACTTCCTAGACTTCATGATTCACTTTTCCTAGACTTCACACATGGAACACCATAGACAGAGAATGCTCTACTCCCACAATCCAATCATCGGCTCTAACCTGGGTGGTAAATCAGAACAAAATGATTATCTCTCTTGCTTTGAAAATGATTCTTTTTGTACTGAACATTTTAGAAGAGTCTTAGGAAATTATTTTTCCTTTCTTTTGGATGACCTGAGTATTATGTTTTCCTAACACATTTACTGAGGCAGTTGGTAGTTGGATAGAATTGTTTAAATTTCATTTTCGGCCCCCATAGCACATGTTCTGGAAGAAGTCAGAAAGGCCAGCTGAGAAAGGACCTGCCTCTCAGAACACTTTTCAGCTTCCTGTGATCACCTGCTACACCGGCCCAACCAGTGCAGACACTGGCATTTTGCCATTCAGTGCTGGACCACACTGTGTGTCTGCAAAGTACATAAAAGGGAGCTATCTCCAGGGGCTTTCAGTATTGTAAGGTGAGATCACTGCCGGCTGGACGCCTCTGGTCTGCATGTCCATGTACACTGGAAATGTTATTTAGGGCTCATTATAACCGTAAAAGTGCTCATGACATGTCTTTGTTTATTTTTAATCTTTAGGAGCAGTAAGCTTTAGAAAGCCTCTACAACTTGTCTAAAACTTATTAAAAAGTATTCTAATATTTATTTTACTAGTATCTTATTTCCACTGGTGAAGGCAGAATAATAAAAATATCACTGTTGGTGCATATGTTTATACTTGCCTATAGAATAATCTTTTAATACTACCAGAAGGCTGGGGGATATTCAACTAATTTCTAAATAAAATGAGCCATGTCATTTTGTTGAAAAGCAAGTGGTTCTTTATTAGGATTGGAAAAAAAAATTAAAAAACAAGACAAAAAAGATACAAGGAAATTAGATTTAAAAATTGTACTTTAAAAAAACCCCGTAGCTTCATGACATAAAAGTTACTGAAGCCTTTTTCCCTTTCAGGAAACTAAAAAAATCCCTAAATGTCTTTAAAAGCCTATAAATTGGGCTCTGGACCTGTGTTTTTCACCTGTAAATTTTACTTCCTCCCCCTCAGAAAAGCAGCAATATTAGAGGGCAGCATGTCTCAACTTCAAACACATGTAAAGGGCTTTGCATTCTGCCAGATGGGTAACCTGACAGACAGTAGAAATACACATCCTATACTGGTGTGAAAAACTAAAAGTGTATAAAATTGTATAACTGATAATGTGAAATAGGAAGACAAGGTCTAAAGGTGCAGGGGAAGTAAGAATGGTAGGGGGAAGAAAAGAAGGAAAAGAAAAAAATATGAGAAAAGGAAAAAATGGAAACAAAGTCCTTGTAAACAAGGAAGGGTGAAAGGGGGGAAGGCAGGGCAGGGGAATGGGGAAAAAAATAAGAACCAAGATACATCATGTAAAGGCACAAGATCCCAATGATGAATATAAGTGTATTGTATACCTAAAACATACCAATAAACAATAAAGAGAAACAAAAAGAAAGAAATACAAATACACATCCTAGATCACCCATCTTTTTTTTTTTTTTTTTTTTGTCGTACCGGGGATTGAACTTGGGACCTTGTGCCTGAGAGGCAGGTGGTGGAACCACTGAGCTAAATCCCTGGCTCTCATCCATGTTAAATATACCCAAGACCCCATAAATATACCCTGCTCCAGCTCATAAAGAACCCCTCTCTCTTTAGGGCCCATACTTTATTTCTTTGAGTGTGTACTTTTGAATTTTTGCTGAACAAAACCTTTGCCATACCTCTTAATGACTAGTCCTGAAAATTCTTTTTCCATGATGAGAGTCAATGAACGTCCAAACATTCTATGTTTAGGGTGGATTAAGTTCCATATCTCAGCTTTGGGACCTTCTCAGACCCAGTCAGGTGAAATGAGTGGGCAGAGGTTACAAAATAGAATTTACTCTGGCATGGCAGCACACACCTGTAATCCCAGCATTCAGGAGGCTGAGGTAGGAGGATTGCCAGGAGTTTGAGGCCAGGCTGGGCTACAGAGTGAGTTTAAGACCAGCCTGAACTATATAGTGAGACTGTCTCAAAATACGAAAAGCCAAACCAAAACAAAGCACAATAGGGAGAACCATGCCTGCTCACGACCCAGCCACCATCCCTCAAGCGCCGGGAGGTAGCCTGGCCCCGATCCACCACAGGAAGGAGAACCACGCCTGCTCCCGACCCAGCAGCCATCGCTCAAGCACCGGGAAGG